AGCGGTGCCCAACCATTTTAGCCACAGAGATGGCGTACCTGCAGGCCCTGGGTAGCAGTGCCACAGCAACCCACGGGGGAACTCGCGAACACAACACCGAACAACAACAATTACGCCAACACCCCTCCCCCCTCCATACCGGGCGAACCACTTCGACCACAGGTGGACACCGACCCTTCCGTGCACCACTGACCTTTCACGCCGATGTCCTCCAGGACCAGGCAATGGCGCGCATTTTTTTAACGCCCGTTAAAAAATGACTCTATGAAAAACTCGTTGCTTTTGTTTTTCCGGAACAAATAACAGGGTAAACAGGAATTGAGGTTTCCATTGGATTCTTTATTATTCTTATAGTTATGTTGCTTGATGCATCTCTCTGTTTCGAGTAGAACATTCGCTGGTTTGATTCTGCTTCCCCCTCCCCCTCTCCCGCGGGATTTCCGGGATTTCCCGGAGGGTAGAATTGTAGAAATATTCGAAAAGCTTTGGTGAAATGTCGTCAGAGACAGAGGCCAAAGCCCCCTTCGTATTCCATCTCTGTATAAGGTGAAGGCACTCGCAAAACAGACCGCCAATGGTAGCAAATGCCAACAGCAACCATCCGCCAAATGCCAACAGCAACCACCCCGACTGTCAGTGGCTGCCTCTTTAACTTAGAAGCAAACTGATGTCCGGTCCGATCCCGTGGACGTGCCAGGGCCAATTGACCATCGAAATGAATGAACGAATCGTAGAGGGATTGGCTGTGCCATCGACACAGACCTTTCACGGTTGTGCATCCCACGGTACTATGTCCGCCAGAATTGCCTTACTAGAAGTAAAATAGCGGGGCAAAGTTGCAAACCATCGATGGCTCGTTGTGCTACGATTGCTAACTAGGTTACAGTCCAGCTGGAGTGTCCTCCGAAGCTGTTCTCCTTCTTTTCTTTTTCCTTCTCCTCATTTTCTTCCTTAGTTTTAAATACGTTAATTCATGGTATGGTTCTCCGGAAATGCCTTTGGAACTTTCCCAACTGTTTTGACTGGTGCTGCTGCATCGTCTGGTGATCAGCCTGCTAGCGGCCCTTTTTTGCTCGTTTAGTCACCTGTCAACTTAGCGGATCGAAACGTCTTAACTCTTTCGTACTTATTTATTTTTCCCACACCAGCTATATTTCTACATTTATTTTTGTTGCAACCGTCACACTGACGAGGTTCAGTTGCAGCACTGAACAGGAATGTATGCGACTTGATGGACCGAAACATTCCCATTCA